GAAATTTTTTTTTAAAAAGTACGCTATATGAATGTTGGTCGATCTTCCTTTTTCTTTTTTGGCAGCTGGCCTGTGTGGGAATTTGAACCCTTGATCTTGTTGTTAATAAACCACACTCTAACTAGCTGAGCTGACCAGCCAGCCTGGTTGATCTTTTAAAGAACTCTTGCCTGTCTACTAGGGTGTCAAGATTGTGCTAGGTTCTGGGATTCAGAAAAAATCAGCACCTGTTTCCTATTTGGTTTCTTACTACAGTTTCTCAATTCTTCCGGCAAAATATTTTTCACTTTTTTTACCCCCTATTTTCATTGCCTCTAATCCACACTGTAACAAATTGGTTCCCAAATTGTTTTTTAGTATTTATATCAATGCCAGACTAATAATTGTTCTGTCAGAGAGATTATATGGTGTATTAGAAAAAGTATGGACTTCATAATCAAGAGATCTGGGTTTATATCTTGGCCTTACTTCTTAGAATATCATGACACTGGGCAAGTCCCTTTACCACTCCTAACTTGAACTCTTTTTTTTTTTTTTTTTTCTTTCTTTCTTAGAGAAGGTAAATATCAGAGACTGTGCTGGGTTCTAGGGATAAAGGAAGATATTAAGTTCCTTGAACTTGAAGAAGCCCATGGTTGAGTGGGTGAGACAGATACTGTCATAAATAACTATAGTGTAACATGGAATTATAAAAGAAAACTAGCTTTGGAATTAAATATAAAGGGCAGCATATGTAGTGATAAAAGCATAGACTTAATTCTAAAGTCCAATTGCTTGGGTCTAATCCTGAGTTATTAGCTCTGTTACCTCAGTGTCCTTATCTGTAGAATAAGAATATATTTTATACTGATGCAATTTAATTAATAGAATTCTTATGAGAAGTAAATGAAATTATGTATGTAAAGCACAGTGTGTATATATATATATATATATATATATATATATATAGTACATAGCTTATATTAGCATATAACTGCTCAATAATTATGATTATAATATTAGTAGAGCAGTTAAGAGCTTAAAAATGTCAGCTTTGACTTCATGTTGGAGTCCCAGTTTAGCAACATGCTGGCCATGTAAATATAAGGAAGATATTTAACCTAAGCCAGTTTCCTCATCTTCAAAATGCATATTATAATTGTGCTTGGCCCAGGATATAGAAATTGAAAGAGCTCATTTATCTAAAGAGCTGTGCACCAGGACCTGATTCATAGTAAGTGCTTCATAAAAAATAGCTGTTGTGATTTTTATTCTTGCTCTGCCATCTGCTGGCTGTTTTATCTTTGATATGAAAATTAATCTTTCTGTGACTTACTTTACCCACTTGGTTCAAAACAAAGTTGTTTTGAAGATTACAAATGAACATTAGTGCCTGGCACCATGCAGTTCTCATTCAGTACAAAATAGATATTGTCAGTGGTACAATTTAATTTTTCAGGTGCTGAGAGTAAAATGAATTCTACCTTACAAATTCGGAAAGGTATCATGGAACTAGTGAGCTTTGATTGAATTTGATTGAATTTTGAAGGATGAATGAGATTTTTGCCATTAAATGGCTAATCTAAACAAAGGCTCAGAGGTGTGAAAATGTCTATTACAGTGCTTAGGGAACATTTAAGTGCTAGGCTGCATTAAGGAATACTCAGTGTATCTGGCAGCTGTTTGCTGGGAGAAGGGAATATTGGGAAATGAGGCTAGAAAGGGAGGGTGGAGCTAGTTAGTGAAACATTTTGAATACCTTGCTAACATGTTTACACTTTATTCTATAGGTCTCTGTTTTTCTTTTTTTTTTTTTTTTTTGTCTTTTTCCGTGTCCGGCAATGGATCGCAACCCTCAGTTTTGCCCCCGTACCGGACCAGGGACCGGCAACGGGATCGCAACCCTTGGCGCTGCTTCCTGCGCCTCGCTCAGCCAGTGAGCGGGAACCGGTCTGTATGTGGGATCCGAGCCCTCGGACGGGAGTGCCGCCGCGCTTCCCAAGAGGCGCACTTATCCAGTGCGCCACTGGGCCAGCCCAGTATTGGGTCTTTTTAAAGTGGTTGGAATGAGATGAAATCTTCCTCATATGTGAGAATATATCAATGATGTAGATCCTCATCATATATAACTCCCCAAGACACATACAGCAAAAAACAAAACACATATTATCAAAACATAATATGAGAAAGTCATTCAAGATTAATTTATTATGGGCCGGCCCGGTGGCGCACTGGATAGTGCGCCACTTGGGAAGCGCGGCGGCGCTCCCGTCCGAGGGTTCGGATCCCACATACAGACCGGCTCCCGCTCACTGGCTGAGCGAGGCGCAGGAGCAACGCCAAGGCTTGCGATCCCGTTGCCGGTCCCCGGTCCGGTACGGGGGCAACACTGAGGGTTGCGATCCGTTGCCGGACACGGAAAAAGACAAAAAAATAAAAAAATAAATAAATAAAAGGTCTCTGTTTTTCTAACTTTTATTTCTAACAACAGAGGAAACTAAACTTCTTTTGGGATAGGGAAGGGAATTACTTGAAACCAGTGTTACAAACAGGAATTTCTTCGTAATCTTGTGTTTTATCTTAAAGTTTGTGTGACATCTGTCTTCTACTACATTTTTTTTTCAATACAAAAATATCGAGTTATTTACTGGTTACATAACTTCCCTTCCCTCAGCTCACATACTCTTATCCCCTCAAATAATATTTAAGTTTGTTTATATTCTAAGAAGATGTACCACATTCATCCTGTAGCTTTAGTGCCCTCGCATATCTCTACTGGGGAACCCTTGTACGTGCTTCCAGCATGAAAACTGTGGTTACAGATGATACAGAGTCTGAAATTTTTTTAGAAGGGGAGTGAGGGGATAAGGGCTATGCATTACAGCTGGGTTGGGCCAGATGGAGTAGAAGCTACTTTAATTAATTAAGGAGACCTTTCCTGTTGGGCCAGATGGAGTAGAAGCTACTTTAATTAATTAAGGAGACCTTTCCTGTTGGGCCAGATGGAGTAGAAGCTACTTTAATTAATTAAGGAGACCTTTCCTGTTGGGCCAGATGGAGTAGAAGCTACTTTAATTAATTAAGGAGACCTTTCCTGTTCTTCCTATAAGTCATTTAGTCTTTGAACTGTGTGGATTACCTTGTGATCCAAATTAAGTCAGACTTGACCTCATCTCTCTCCTGCTTTTTCAGTATGAGCTTTGTTTTTACTCTGCCTGGGATGTGTCTAGTTAGCAACAGGAAAAACCTCTCTAAGCAGGGACTTCCAAGAGAGGAATTGTACAGACATCTAATTCCAGCTTCTGTTTTATCCTTCTTTGTTAGTCTTCCTGTGCTGCTGCTATTGTTTAAAAATAAAGTAGGAAACACTTCTTTTTTTTTTTTTTTTTTTTTTTTTTTTTTTTTTTTTTTTTGGCCTTTTTTCCGTGTCCGGCAACGGAGCACAACCCTCAGGGTTGCCCCCGTACCGGACCGGGGACCGGCAACGGGATCGCAAGCCTCGGCGTTGCTCCCGCGCCTCGCTCAGCCAGTGAGCGGGAGCCGGTCTGTATGCGGGATCCGAACCCTCGGCCGGGAGCGCCGCCGCGCTTCCCAAGCGGCCCACTCTTCAGTCCGCCCCCCGGCCCGCCCCCCTTTTTTTTTTTTTTTTTGGCCTTTTTTCCGTGTCCGGCAACGGAGCACAACCCTCAGGGTTGCCCCCGTACCGGACCGGGGACCGGCAACGGGATCGCAAGCCTCGGCGTTGCTCCCGCGCCTCGCTCAGCCAGTGAGCGGGAGCCGGTCTGTATGCGGGATCCGAACCCTCGGCCGGGAGCGCCGCCGCGCTTCCCAAGCGGCCCACTCTTCAGTCCGCCCCCCGGCCCGCCCCCCTTTTTTTTTTTTTTTTTTTTTTAGGAAACACTTCTCAATACTTCTGTATTTGTTTAAATTACTGGGATTTGGGGAATCATAGTTGGCAGTATGAGTTCTGTAGTAGATCTCAGATAAACGGAGTACAGCTCTAGTTCTGTCACTGGCTAGATATAAAACCTGTCTGTCCTTCCTCTTTGAATGGGGGTGACTATCCTTATTCAAGTCACAGACCTGCTTTGAGTATTAGGTGTGAAATAGTATATTTGAAATTGGTATATAAAGTTAAAAAGATAGTATACTGGTGTTGATGAAGACGCAGGCTCTGAAGCTAGACTTCCTTGGCTTGAATCGTTACTAGCTGTGTGTACCTAGACACCTTACTTCACATTTCTGTGCTCCAGTTTCTTTATCTGTAAAATGGGGGAAATGATAACATCTACCTCATAGAATTTTTGTGAAGATCAACACATATTAAATGCTAAGAATAATGATTAGTACATAGCAAGCGGTCAGTAAACATTAATTTTTATTGTTAAAGATATCTGTTAAGTGCCTACACAATGCTTGGCATATAACAGGTATTTAATTATAATACTTCAGTAGTAAAATAATAAAATAAGATGACTAAACTACAAGTCTAATGACTTGTTTTGCCATTTAATGTGTAACCTAGGCCTCTCAGTTTCTCTATTTACTGATTTTTAAAAATCTTTTGTTAAAATAATACAAATCTATTGTTAAAATACACAAATAAAGAAGACATAAAAAAATATGTAGCCTAACAAATTGTTGTAAGGCAAATGAAGACCTTTGTAACTATTACCCATGAAAAGAGATAAAATCCTTACCAGTCATCCCAGAAGCCTTCCCTGTATCCCTTCAAACACAACCCCTTCCCCCTCCAAGAGTAACTGCCATCCAGACTTTTTGGTATTTATTTCCTTACTTAAGAGACTGTATGTAAATGTTTGTTTCTGTGTCTGTTTTCTCTTGCTTCTTGAGAACATGAATCACATATTATATTCCTATCGCCTTACACAGTATCTGTCATATGATAGACATTGAATAAACACTTGATGAATAAGTAAATGAATGTTTTATTCTCTGCTTTTCTAGAAACTAACTTGTTGACTTTTATGTTCCCTTTGTGTTTCTTCCTGGGCTCCAAGGAGGAGGCATCTCCCTATTCCTTACTTGATATCTGCTTGAATTTCCTGACTACTCACCTTGAGAAGTTCTGTTCAGCAAGACAAGATGGAACACTGTGTCTGCAGGAACCTGGAGTATTCCCACAGGAGGTGGCTGATCGACTGCTTCAGACCATGGCTTTTCATGGTAAAAAATAAACAGAGGAAATAAAAATTATGTGCTGTTAATTGGCATTGTATTTTGAACTGCTCTTATGTCCATTTAATTATTTTCTTAGAAATAACAGAAAAGGCCAGATGAGCCTGATTCCAGAAAAAGGAATTAATTTATTTTTACCTATCATGTCTCTTACTGTGTAATTTATTTATTTATTTTATTTTATTTTATTTTTTTGTCTTTTTTCATGACCGGCAACGGATCACAACCCTCAGTGTCGTGCCCGTACCGTACCGGACCGGGACCGGCAACGGCAACGGGATCGCAACCCTCAGTGTTGCGCCCGCACCTTGCTCAGCCAGTGAGCGGCCGGTCTGCATGTGGGATCCGAACCCTCGGCGGGAGGGCCGCCGCGCTCCCAAGCGCACACGGGCCAGCCCCTTACTGTGTAATTTAAAATAAGCATTTTTCTTCCCTAATTTTGGCAAACTTTTTTTTTTTTTTGCTTTGAGAAGCCATTCTTATGTCAGAAATAACTTCTCTAACTCACAAAATATCCATCTTAGAAGTCTGCCATCTTAGAAGTCCATTTATAATGCCTTTTATTTGACAGTGGGAGGATTAATACTGTTATGGAAAAACTCGTTTCTGGGCCGAGCCCGTGGTGCACTCGGGAGAGTGCAGCGCTGAGAGCGCAGCAGCGCCCTCGCTGCGGGTTCGGATCCTATATAGGGATGATCGGTGCGCTCACAGCGCTCACTGGCTGAGCGCGGTATGGCAGGTCTCAAAAAGGACAAAAAAAACCTCGTTTCTGCTTTTGACCTTTGAAGTGGGAAGTCTCAGCTAACTTAGTACTTCTGTTTACAAAAACAAATTCTGAAAATAAATTGGGAAAGTTTTATCTGTGAAATTCTGGTTAAATATATTGAGTATTTTTGTTACTTCTATTTACATTTTAAGTTGAAATGTCTATATATCTTTAGGGTTTATAAATTCTTACAAGTAGGGAAGATGATTTGTCCACAGAAATAAAATAGAAAGAAAATTTGGCAATAATAATAGTTATCATTTATTGGTTGCTTGTTATGTGTCAATCATTTTATATATGTTTTCATGGAATTTTCTCAAAAACTCTATAAAGTAGCTATTATTATCCCCATTTATATACAGATAAGGAAACTGAGGTTCAGAGAAGTACTTGCTGAGGGTCACATTGCTAGTAAATGGTGAAGTCCTGGTTCATGTGCAAGTATGTTCAATTCTAAATATATGCTCTTCCCACTGTGCCACATGTCCTTCTTACACCTATGTTAGAGGTATCCGTGCTCCTAGATGCCAGATAATTGTTTACACTTTTGCTGTGACTTTAAATATGTATATAAAACTATTAAGCATGACTGCAGATAATGCATTCCAAGGAAGGGTGGGAAGAAAGGCTGTAATAGAGGCATTTTAGAATAATTTAGGAAAGAAAAAGCTATACTCCTTGGTTTTCACTAAGTTGCTCGAGTCCTCGGTGTCTTTGAACTTTTCCTACCTGCCATGGGAACTAGGGTAAATTTTAGTTAAGTACTGTATACGTTAAAAGTAAAGATCCCTTATAAAGCTGCAGAACAATTTAAGAGATTATGCCAGTGCTAACATTTCTTTGTAATCTCAATTTAATGATTATGTGCAGCATATTCAATTTAAAAAATGGTCTTATAAATCAAAAGAATGAGTGTTAACTAAAGTTTTAACTTTGCCAGATTCAGTGGTCCTTTTGAAATATAACTACTGATAGCTAATAATAGCAGCTAGCATTTATTGAATGCTCATTATTATATGTCAGGCACTGCGGCACATGCATTATATGGATAAAATAATGGAAGTGGTTTTTAAGTAAGCATAACTAAATAACTGTCCTTTGGAGTGATGTCTTGGAGAGACTATATGCTTGATCAGAATGTATTTTTTACCTCCTCTTTTCAAACTGCCTTCAGGTAAAAAAAACTGAGTACCAGCCAGCCTCCAAAAAAAAAAAGAAAACTGAGCATCAGAGTAGTAACTTGCTTCTCCTATTTGTGTTACCCCAATGTGGTGACCTGCCTTATTCACCAAAAAAGGTTCTCAGTTATTTAATCTCTTTGTAAAAAAATCGTATTCATCTTCAACCAATCAAGAGTGGATACTGCTGAGAATATGCAAAAGAACATGTTGCCAATTCTTGTTACAATTTTTTTTTTTTAAAAGATGACCGGTAAGGGGATCTTAACCCTTGACTTGGTGGTGTCAGCACCACGCTCAGCCAGTGAGCGAACCGGCCATCCCTATGTGGGATCCGAACCCGGGGCCTTGGTGTTATTAGCACCGCACTCTACCGAGTGAGCCACGGGCTGGCCCCTTGTTACAGTTTTTTAAAAAGTTACTTGATAAATTTTTCTGTGTTTGAAAATTTTCATAATAAAATGGGCAAAAGATGCTCTATGAATTCTTTTAAAATTGGTAATAGAATACTTTTTTTAATAGCATATTGAATTTTAAAAGTGCTTGACATTTACATTCAGAATTTTTTGCTTATTCAACCAATTCGAAGGATTAATGATGTTGGTAGCAGTCTTTATTAAAATAAGTCTGATGCTAAAAAGAGTTTTACTTATTGGGGTCTGTGATTCTCTTCATAATCTTTGCTCATTGTGTCTGTGTTTTGGTGCTAAAATTTTTCCAGGAAATGTGGGTATAAGAGCTAGAAATCAGAATAAGAATTTTTTCATCTAATAATAATATCTCTGTGTCATACTGTCTACGTAATCAAGTTTATAAACCTTGACATGTTCAGCATTCTAATTTGAGATTAAACTGGGAAGAGTAATATCTTTTAAAACATTACAAATTGCTTCCTTCAACAGCCAAATAGACTTTCTAGGTGATTGAAAGTTTATATCCTCAGACTATTACCCCAGTCATCGGTAGGTCACGTTGTTGCTCACCTCAGCTGTCTATAACTTAAACCAGAAAGAAATAAAAAAAGCTTTGGGGCAAAATTCTTCTATTTAGGCTTCTATACTTTACTCTTTGAAAGAAGCCATTGACTTGCCATTTACAGCATATTGTTTTTTAAATATATACAGTCTAATTACCTTGGTTCTCTACCATAGCAAGTTAATAACTGCAAATCTAGGGCTGGCTGGTTAGCTAACTTTGTTAGAGCTCAGTGTTATAACACCAAGGCCAAGGGTTCAGATTGCTGTACCAAAAAAAAAAAGAAAAAAAACCCTGCAAATCTGAAGGGGACAGGCTGCCAACTAAAAATACAAGTGGTTAGTAGGACATTAAAGGATGATTTAGCATAAACACATTGTAGCAAGTACAATAATTATTGGTCATGAAAAAAGCTAAATGATTCTTTGGTATGTTTATTTTTGAAGGAAGGATAAGATACCTAGAAAGATTTCCTTCAAATATAGTAAAGGGCATTTGTGTAGTATTTCAGTTTGCAAAATGCTTATGTATATCATCTTATTTAATCTTCACTGCAATCCCTGTCAGAGAGATATAATTATTCACATTTTACAGATAAGGACTTAGGCTTGTGGAGTAACTTGTCCACTGTCAAACAGCAAATAAATGTTGGAACCAGGGCTCAAACCCAGGACTGGTTTATAGAACTCATGCTCTTTTCCTTTTTTTAAACTCCCTGCTCTTTTAATTCTATTACTGTCAAATGTAGACACTTAAACTTAGTTATTAAAGAAATTCTCTTAATGTAGACTGACCCAGAGAGGCCAGGAATAACCCATTTTTCCAAATGTATATGTATAATATAAAATTTTGTAAGGCACTGTGATAATCACTATAAGATTAAAATCTGTCTTAATTAACTAAAGAGTCTGAGGCTGTATAAAACAAAACTAACATTTTGAAATATGTGTACATTTATTTTGTGGCGTAAACAAGGAAAACATTGATCTTAACCCAGGGTCTCTTTCCATTTTTGGTTTTTCAAAGGTCCTTAACAGAAGATCTCCAATGTGTGTGTGAAATGAGTTATCTGTGGGTGCAGAAGAGGCCTGTAGAAGTAAAATAATGTATTAGAAGAAGCTCCGGAGAGGAAATTAATTAACACCCATTGTGTGTCAGGCACTATGTTAGGTGTTGAGTGTGTAATATTAAACACAACATGAATCCTGCTCATGGAGCATATAGTCCAGTGGAAGAAATAATTAAGAAGTAAACAAACAAATATAGAATTACAACTTGTGATAGGGTCTCTGAGGGAAAAAAACCTTTTATCTCAGGAGGCATAATAAAAGAAGGGATCTGTTTAGCTTGGGTGGTCAGAGAAACCTCTAAGAAGGTGATGCTGAGTTGAGACCTGAATAATGAGAAGGAAGCAGGTCAGTAATATAAAGATGGGGCCCCTCAGCATTGCCCAGGAATTCTTGAGTATTTCCCTGGTCAATTATCCAGTGCTCCTAACAATAGTTTCAGATTTTCTTTGCTCTTTTCAGACTTTCTACCATTTACTCTTTGCAAGAAAATTGAAGCCATCAGATAGAATTACCATAACTCCATGTCGACATACTTTCAAATATTTCTTAGTGATTTTCTTCCTTCCTCCCTTCTTCCTTTCTTCCCTTCCTCCCTTCCTCCCTTTCTCCCTTTCTCCCTTTCTTTTTTTTTGCCGCTGGCCAGTATAGGAATCCAAACCCTTGATTTTGGTGTTATAACACCACACTTTAACCAACTGAGCTAACCAGCCAGCCCCGGAGTGATTTTTTAATTAAACTTTTTATTTTGAGACAATTGTAGATTTACATGCAATTGTAAGAAATAATACAGACATTGGGCTGACCCGGTGGCGCACTGGAGAGTGCGCCACTTGGGAGCGCGGCGGCGCTCCCGCCGAGGGTTCGGATCCCATGTGGAGACCGGTTCCCGCTCACTGGCTGAGCGCGGTGCGGGCGCAACACCGAGGGTTGCGATCCTGTTGCCGGTCCCCGGTACGGGCGCAACACTGAGGGTTGCGATCCCGTTACCGGTCAGTAAAA